AGAGAGAGAGAGAGAGAGAGAGAGAGAGAGAGAGAGAGAGAGAGAGAAAGGAGTTTTGAGGACCTGGTCACTTGTACACAGGGGTACTTGGGTACTTGATCATGTGTGGTTACGTATAATTCACAAAGATTGAAGCCTGGTCTCAAAGGTAGCCAGTAGACTCTCTGCCTGTGACATACCATCACGTGAAGTTCTTAGCACAAGGCCTGTCCTGTCAGCATCACCTGATATCTCTAACTGCCCTACACCCAGGGTAGACCAGCCATGCAGCTAGAGTGGTCGATACTGGAGGCCTGACTTTCCCGTTTTGACCCCCTGCCAGGCCACGCCAATGCCAGCTTCTGTCCACATGGTTATGGCTGCCGTACCCTGGTGTTGTGTGAGGGTCAAAGGATGCTGGATGTTACGGACAACGAACTCACCGTGACCGTGCGTGTGCCAGAAGGCCGGTGGCTCTGGCTGGTGAGCCTCAGGGCTGGTGTGTCATCTGCAGAGTGGTTTCCCTTTATGCCTGTCCCATATCTCAGCTCAAGTATATCACTATTTGTCAGTGTATCCCACGTCACAGGTGCACCGTGGGAGGCTCTAGAAGCTCCCTGAGAACCGAGCCTTTAAGCCCAGCTGGTGGACGGAAGTGGAGGCTAGGTAACAGAGAAGAGAAGACCTGAGCAAAGCTAGATGCTTGGCTCGCTGTCCCTTCACTGTCTGCCAGACTAGGACTGCCATGCCCCGGTCTTAGCCACTCTTAGGGACCGGCACCATTACCTGTTCCAACCCACGGGCTCTGTCCACATCCCCCTAGCTGGGCCCTTCTGCTGGGCCCTTGCAAAGGTGACCAGGTCTTGTTCTGTAGGATTACGTACTGATTGTCCCTGAGGATGTTTACAGCTCCAGCTACCTCCAAGAAGAGCCCCTGGACAAATCCTATGACTTCATCACTCATTGTACCACCCAGGGCTACCACATTAGGTAGGCTGGGTTGGGGCAGGACAAGGAGTCTGGGGCACAGGGGTCAGGACAGGAGCCAGGCTCACTGTTACCCCTCAATGTAGCCCCAGCAGCTCATCTCTGTTCTGCCGGAATGCGGCCACCTCCTTGTCTCTCTTCTACAACAATGGGGCCCTCCCTTGCGGTTGTCACGAGGTGGGCTCCGTAAGCTCCACATGTGAACCCTTCGGGGGCCAGTGCCCCTGCCGGGGCCACGTCATTGGCCGGGACTGCTCCCGCTGCGCCACCGGCTACTGGGGCTTTCCCAACTGCAGGCGTGAGTACCCAGTGCTCAGAGAATCACAGGCAGTGTGCTGAATCCCAAGGGCTCCCTGGGGGATGGGGTGCGCCAGGACCCAGGGGGCATGGTGGGCATGGGAACATTCAGGAGCCTCACTGACTGCATGTCATTTCCAGTGAAGTGACTCCTCTGGCAGCTAGCAGCCTGGGTGGTGTGCACTGTTTTGTGGCTTGTCTAACAGGGTCTAGGAAGTGTAACCCTGACAGTGACACATAGGAGCAGCAGGGGTAGAAGTAGGGTAGTGTTCCTGCCCTTCCCTACCACATCCTGCTGCGGGCTGCATCTGGGGCTTGAATGGGACAGAGGGGGATCAACCAGTACTGTCCACCCCAACAGCCTGTGACTGTGGAGCCCGCCTGTGTGATGAGTTCACAGGCCAGTGTATCTGTCCTCCACGCACTGTGCCCCCTGACTGCCTGGTCTGCCAGCCACAGAGCTTTGGTTGCCACCCCTTGGTGGGTTGTGAGGAGTGTAACTGCTCAGGACCCGGTGTCCAGGAACTGACGGACCCCACCTGTGACATGGACAGCGGCCAGTGTAGGTGAGTCCAGACTGCACCCCACAATCATGTGGGATCTCCGGTCAGGGAGGACATCGCCTCTCACACCCGACTCCTGTTAATCTGAGATGACACTCCAGGCACCGGGATCCTGTGGGATCTGTATGACCCAGGGCTAAAGGGGACTCACTTTGCCCTTGTCCACACAGATGCAGACCCAATGTAGCTGGGCGTCGCTGTGATACCTGTGCACCAGGCTTCTATGGTTATCCTAGCTGTCGTCCCTGTGACTGCCATGAGGCAGGCACCATGGCTAGCGTATGTGACCCCCTCACAGGCCAGTGCCATTGCAAGGTGAGCAGGGGCTTGTGTCCAGGTCCCCTTCCCAGGCTCTTTCTACATATCTGCTTCTGTTGAGCCATGGTTCTCAGCAGACTTCCTGGCAAGGTGGGACTTCCTGGAAGCTTCTGGGGGAAAAGGAAGAAAACTGGTCTACTGTCTGGCTCTCAACACATAGCCAATTGGCCTTGATCATCCCCTGCCCGCAGGAGAATGTACAGGGCTCAAGATGTGACCAGTGCCGCGTGGGGACCTTCTCTTTGGATGCTGCTAACCCCAAGGGCTGTACCCGCTGCTTCTGTTTCGGGGCCACAGAACGCTGTGGTAATTCTAACCATGCCCGCCATGAGGTATCCTGCCCTAGCCTGGGACTGAGGTGGGAGGCACCAGAGGGGCCCCGGAGTGCAGGGGAAGGCCTCTCTACTCTGTGACTCTGCTCACAGTTTGTAGACATGGAGGGCTGGGTGCTGTTGAGCAGTGACCGGCAGGTGGTACCCCACGAGCATCTGCCTGAGAGGGAGCTGCTGCACGCAGATCTACGCCTTGTGGCTGACACTTTCCCAGAGCTGTACTGGCAGGCTCCGCCCTCCTACCTGGGAGATAAGGTGAGCAGGGGCATTTGGTTTGAGGGTTTGTACTCTGAGGACAGGAAGTGCCCTGGGGCACTGTGGAGTGTTATGTGGGTGACATTGAGGTTATATCTGGGGACCTTGGAGCTGCATTGTAAAGGAAGCCGGAGAGGTGCGCAGCCAGGTGAGGGTCCTGTAAGGGTGGGTGTGACAAAGAGGGAGACCATTCCCACCGTCCTGGCTCCAGGTGTCATCCTACGGTGGGACCCTCCACTATGAGCTGCACTCGGAGACCCAGCGAGGCGATGTCTTCATTCCTTACGAGAGCCGGCCGGACGTGGTGCTGCAGGTTGTGGAGCGTGGTGGGATGTGGCCAACCGGGATAGCGGACCAGCCCGGTTGCCAGCCCTCACCTGGTCCCTGTGTCTGGTTCGCAGGGCAACCAAATGAGCATCGCATTCCTGGAACTGGCGTACCCTCTGCCGGGCCAGGTTCACCGGGGACAGCTGCAGCTTGTGGAGGTGAGCAGAGCCTGGTGCCCAGCGAGGGCCCGGAGGAGCTGTAGTCACTGTTCTCACTGGTCTCCACAATGGAGGACTCCAGTGTCAGAAGGAGACAGAGGTCTGATCATCCGTGATGGTTCATCTCTGGTTCTAAAATCCTTGAACACAGTGGGTGAGCGGCCTCTGAGGCGTGGTGGAAGCCCCTCTGTGACTCTCACTTGGGCTCTCTACCTTTCAGATGACCTCACTTGAGACACAGCAAGAGCCGCCTCCAGTCTGTAGCTTGATCTTTATTTTAGTTGGACTACATTTTATTTATTTATTAGATGTGTGTGTTACGTACACGTGCACACTCGCACATGCATGTTACAGCGTGCACACGGAATCGGCGGACGGCTCGCAAGAGTTAGTTCTCTTCAACCATGCAGGTCCGCTTGAACTCCGCTTGTCAGCTTGAGGGTGGCAGGCACTGTTGGTTCATTGAGCAGTCTCACATGCATTGCAGCTTTCTTTTTTTTAAAAAAAAAATGTCCGGGAGAGATGGCTCAGCGGTTAAGAGCACTGGCTGCTCTTCCAGGGGTCCTGAGTTCAATGCCCAACAAACGCGTGATGGCTCACAACCATCTGTATGTACATGCAGACAGAGTACTGATTTACATGAAGTACATAAATCTTTAAAAACAAAAACAAGTGCCAGGCGGTGGTGGCGTACGCCTTTAATCCCAGCACTTGGGAGGCAGAGGCAGGTGGATTTCTGAGTTCGAGGGCAGCCTGGTCTACAGAGTGAGTTCCAGGACAGCCAGGACTACACAGAGAAACCCTGTCTCAAAAAAAAAACAAAAAAACAAAAAACGAAAAAAAGCTTTCAGAACGTCCTTTGATGAACAGAGTCTTGATATTCTGAAGTTTATCAGGTTTTCTCGTTTATTCAGTTTGTGTCTTGTTTGTGAAAATATTTGCCATTTATCTGTTCTTTTAACAACTTGAACTACTCTTTTTTTTTTTTTTGGCATATTTAAATTCTTAATATACCTGGAGTTGGCTTTGTGGTGTGAAGTAGGAGCCTGGCTGCTCGCTGTCACCATGGGTGACTGCTGGAGCCCCCTCCTCCTGAGATCTGTGTGCTTGCACCCCGTCCTCTCTGTGGGGCTTGGTTCTGCGCTCCCTGCTCTGCCCCAGCTGAGGTCTTACCTTGACCCCACAGGGGAACTTCCGGCACTTGGAGACTCACAACCCAGTGTCCCGAGAGGAACTTATGATGGTGCTGGCCGGCCTGGAGCAGCTGCAGATCCGTGCTCTCTTCTCACAGACCTCTTCCACGGTCTCCCTGCGTAGAGTGGTACTAGAGGTGGCTAGTGAGGCAGGCAGAGGGCCTCCAGCCAGTAATGTGGAACTGTGTATGTGCCCTGCCAACTACCGTGGGGACTCATGCCAGGTAAAGGGGTGAGGGTGGCCGCTCGGCCATGATGGTACCCCCGCCCCCGTAGGTCCTTCCCCGAGCGTCTCCTTCAGCAGCATCTGCTTTCTACCCTTTCCCATGTCTGCCCGCCTGCAGTGTCTGCCTCTCTGTACCCTGCAGCCTGCCTACTTGCTCCGGAGGCTGCCCATCCTCACCTGTTGTCCCAGCATTCACCTCTGCCTAAACCTCCATACACACAGCTGCTGCAACCTGACCATTGCTCAACCCCAGAACCCACACAACCAGCATCCCGGGTCTACCCTGATTCCACTTTCTCCTCCCTTACCTGGGGATCTGGGTAGTCTAGCATGATACCTGGGGAAAGTTTGTGACTGACTGCCACTAGAAAAAGATTTCAGGGTAGAAAGAAGGTGGCTCTGGTTGGTCATCAGCCCCACGGACTGGTCATTCCTGAGCTGTGGTATCCACATCTGTGTCCATAAATCTAGAGGCCCAACAGACATGGCCACCAGTTCTGGCGTCCAACTCCCTATGATCCAATGTGTGTGCGTCCCTGTAGCCCCTGTTAGTGTGTGAAGGTCCCCAGAGGCTAATGTGTATGAGTGGCTATCTGGTCTGCCCAGCCTTGGGGCTGGCATCCAGTCACTAATGTCCTACCTGCCTTTCTCCAGGAATGCGCCCCTGGCTATTACCGGGACACCAAGGGTCTCTTCCTGGGCCGATGTGTCCCCTGTCAGTGCCATGGCCATTCAGACCGCTGCCTTCCTGCTTCTGGCATTTGTGTGGTGAGTGCTCTAAGCAGGGTGGCCAGGAAGACCCCAGGGCCTGTAGTTCCAGACCCAGGAGACATGCTACCTGACTTTCCCTGGAGTTGCGGTGAGGTGGGGATGTGTTTGCTGCTCTCAGTACTGACCATGGACTGTGCCCCAGGGCTGCCAGCACAACACGGAAGGGGACCAGTGTGAGCACTGCAGGCCTGGCTTTGTCAGCAGTGATCCCAGTGACCCTGCATCTCCCTGTGTTAGCTGCCCTTGCCCTCTGGCAGTGCCCTCCAATAAGTAAGTAGCTGATCCCATCTGCAGCACCCGAGCAGCCGGTGGGAACCCCAGTACAGGGAACCAGCCCCTGATGGAGTAGGTGGGCACCCCAGCACAGGGTACCAGCCCCTGATGGTGGGGGCAGGAAGCATGGGGTACCATCCCTGATGGAGGGGCTAGGAAGCTCAAGGTACCACCTCTGATGGAGCAGTGGGACCCCTAGCACTGGGTAGCGTCCTTGATGGTGAGGGTGGGAACCCCTGCACCGAGTGGCTGCACTGATAGATTCTGGTGTGTCACAACTGCTTGTCTTGTCCTTACAGTTTTGCAGATGGTTGCATCTTAAGAAATGGCCGAACCCAGTGCCTCTGCAAACCAGGCTATGCCGGCGCCTCCTGTGAGCGGTAATTAGGCGGGATGAATCCCTACCGACCAACCCCCAGGGTGCCCTGAGAAGGGCCACCAGACTCTGACTGCCTCCCCTCTTTGTCACCGTCCCCAGGTGTGCACCTGGATTTTTTGGGAACCCTCTGGTGCTGGGCAGCTCCTGTCAGCCCTGTGATTGCAGCGGTAATGGTGACCCCAACATGATCTTCAGTGACTGTGACCCCCTGACTGGTGCTTGTCGAGGCTGCCTCCGTCACACCACCGGGCCCCGCTGTGAAAGCTGCGCCCCTGGCTTCTATGGCAATGCTTTGTTGCCAGGCAACTGCACCCGTAAGCACTGAGTGGGCTCTTGGGTGCACTCTGAGATCAGGTTATGTGCCCGTGTGGCTGGGCCTCCTTCTTGCGTAGCTGCCAGCTTCACGGTCAGACCCTGTCCTTGCTTGGTCCCCTTCAGGGAGGGACTGTAAGGAGGAGAGCCAAACTGAACCAGTGAATATGGGGTGTGAGAGGCCAGAACCAAAGAATGGGAAAAACTGCAGCAAGTAACAAGCTAGGTTTGGAAGGACTGAACTTGGAGGGCAGGGCAGTAACCACAGCCCCCACTTTCTTCAGGGTGTGATTGTTCCCCATGCGGGACAGAAACCTGTGATCCCCGGAGCGGGCGCTGCCTGTGCAAGGCAGGCGTGACTGGTCAACGTTGTGACCGCTGTTTGGTAGGGTGGGGAGTGGGCCTGAGGATGGGGAGGGCTAGTGGGGAGGAACCAGGCCTGTGGAGGAAGTGTGCCAAGGGAGAGTCCTGGTCTGTGGAGAAATGGGCTGGGAGGAGCTTTGGCTGGTCCTAAGGAGCCTGAGATAACCCAGGTTTCCAGGGCTGGCAAAGTATGATGCTGAAGTCTGGGCAGGGTTTGACTATGAGGTGTGTCACAGGAAGGACACTTCGGTTTTGAGCAATGCCAGGGTTGCCGCCCTTGTGCCTGTGGACCAACTGCCGAGGGCTCCGAGTGCCACCCTCAGACTGGTCAGTGTCACTGCCAGCCAGGGACCACAGGACCCCAGTGCCTCCAGTGTGCCCCTGGCTACTGGGGGCTCCCGGAGAAGGGCTGCAGGCGTGAGTTCGGGAGCGTGGGATGGACAGCAGGGTGGAGAGAGGCGGGCATCCTTGGATGCCTATAGTCACACCTGCCTACCCCTTTTCCTGCAGGCTGCCAGTGTCCCCGAGGCCACTGTGATCCACACACGGGCCGCTGCACCTGTCCCCCAGGGCTCAGTGGGGAGCGCTGTGACACCTGCAGCCAGCAGCACCAGGTGCCTGTACCGGGCAGGCCTGGGGGCCATGGCATACACTGTGAAGGTGAGCCTTTGCTCTACCGTTCTCGATCTTTCTCCACTGTTTCTACTCTGCTGGTATGTGGGGGTTTCCAAATACCAGCCTAGTGTTCCTTCCCTGTATTAAACCTTGACACTCCCGACGGACCCCAGCTGCCTGTGTCTGTTTTCTGAGGATTTCTACAACTCCATAATATCCACCCTCTTACTCCACTTGGGGATGTTGCTCCCACACTGGCCTCTGCCCTTTCCATGGATCTCACTGCCCAGGATTCTCCCTAATAAAGTGTTCCGTAACCTCAGGCCAGCTTCTCCTGCCCATCCAGTTTCCTCCTGACCACCTTCACTTGACCTTGGGCTGATGCCCTCGCTGACCCCGTACCCCTATGACTTTGACATAACCGACACAGTTCAGTCTCTTAGGTCAACCTCTCGTGCTTCTCTGACCCTATGCTGACCCTGTTTTCCTGATTAATTCCTGCCCTGGCCCACTCAACTCCGTATTAGCCATAACCCTGGTGCTGGTTTCTTATGCTGACCCAGTTGTCTCTGTGATCCCTGGCTTACCCATGTCCTTTGTACCCACTCTCCCCTGACTACAGTGTGTGACCACTGTGTGGTCCTGCTTCTGGATGACCTCGAGCGGGCTGGTGCCCTCCTCCCCTCCATCCGTGAGCAGCTGCAGGGTATCAATGCCAGCTCCGCAGCCTGGGCCAGGCTGCACAGGCTGAATGCCTCCATTGCTGACCTGAAGGTATTTCATGCCTATCTACCTGCTGCCCTTCCTCCTCTAGCTGGCTGTGTGGTACTTAACCTCTCCCCCTCACCCCCCACAGAGTAAGCTCCGGAGGCCACTGGGACCCCGCTACCAGACAACACAGCAGCTACAGACTCTAGAGCAGCAGAGTATGAGCCTTCAACAGGATACAGAGAGGCTGGGCAGTCAGGCAAGGCCTATGACCCCATCCCAGTATCCTGTAGTGCCTTTCCTCAGGAAGCTCTCATTCCCAGGATCCCCCCCGCAACTCCCCAGTCCTTGACACCAAAGCTACCTTCTCCTATCCCCGGGGCCACCCTTTTCATCCTGTCCTGCCTCAGTTAAGTGTTAAGTACCCACAAACACCACAGCTGAAGGAAACTGTACCCACAGGCCACAGGGGTCCAGGATCGGGCAGACCAGCTGCTGGACAACACAGAGTCCACACTGGGCCGGGCACAGAACTTGTTGGAGACTGTACAAGCTGTGAACCGTGCCCTGAGTGGTAAGGCTGATGCTTGGGCTTAGTACAGGATGAGCTAGCTGCTTAGAGGGACAGGATGGAAGTCTAGAAGTCTCCTCTTGAGCTGGCTGTGTCCTGTATGTTTATTCTCTGGGCAAGTGGCTACTTGGCCAGAGTCTGTTGGATCCCATAGAGCCGGACCCTCATACTAGCAAGCTGGGAATACTAGCAAACCTCCTTAGTGACAAACAGACCAGCGGCTGAGAAAAAACTGGGGCTCCCAATCTTATGACAGGATCTGGCACAGCCAAAGGATTGTGGGAAAAGTGAACTTTCTGCTTGGGGAAGGCCAGGGATTGGGCTGAGCCAACATGTCAGGATTGAGAAAGGCAGAGAGGGGTCTTAGTCTTGGGCTGCTGGGATATGTGCTGGTGGCCTGCAGAAATGCCTTGGCGGGTCTTAGGCTTGGAAATGGGTGATGAAATCTAGCCCCAGACCCTGACAATCCCCTCTCTGTAGAGCTGGCATCTCACATGGGCCAAGGATCCCCAGGCAATGCCTCAGCACCGTCTGGCGAGCAGCTGCGCTGGGCACTGGCTGAAGTGGAGCGGATGCTCTGGGATATGCGGACTCGAGACCTGGGGGCCTCACAGGCAGTGGCAGAGGCTGAACTGACAGAAGCCCAGAGGCGTGAGTAGGGTCAAACCTGTTAGGCAGGGCCGCTCAGGATCACAACCTGGGAGCCCTGGGGCCAAATGTAAAAAAAAAAAAAAAAAAAAAAAACGACAGCAGCTAGCCTGCTTTAGAGGTGGACTGGATGGGGGATCATGACGGGGTCTAGGTAGCAGGGTGACCTCCTTCCTACTCTGGTGTTGGCCAGTGATGGCTCGTGTCCAGGAGCAGCTGACCAGCTTATGGGAGGAGAACCAGTCATTGGCCACACATATTCGGGACCAGCTGGCTCAGTATGAGTCTGGCCTCATGGATCTTCGTGAGGCCCTGAACCAGGCGGTTAATACCACCAGGGAGACTGATGAACTCAACAGCCGCAACCAGGAGCGGCTGAGGGAAGCCCTGGTAAGTGCATTTGCTTCTTGCCCTGTGTCCTGCCTCCCACCCTTTCTGCTCTCTGGCCGCCTCCTCGCAAGGCCCTGGTCTTCTGTCATCTCTTTGCTCGTTCTCCCTCCTCTCCCTCCATCTCCCTTCCTCTTCTTGGTCCATTCCTCCTGTACCCCATGTTCTCTCAAACCCAGGCCTCCCCTCCCTCCTCTGTCCCCACATCCCACCCCCATACCCCCAACCCCTGCTTCTTGCCCTATGGTGCTTAGGGCCCCATTACAGCCTTTATTCACACTCTCTTAAAATGTTGTCCCAAGCAATGGAAACAGGAACTGTCCCAGGACAACGCCACCCTAAGGGCCACTCTTCAAGCTGCCAGCCTCACCCTGGGCCACGTTTCTGAGCTTCTGCAGGGCATAGACCAGGCTAAGAAGGTAAATACACCCCCTCCAACTCACTCATTCCTGGCTAGTCTCCTCTTAAGATTTCCGGTTGCGGGCTGGAGAGTTGGCTCAGAGGTTAAGAGCACAGACTGCTCTTCAAGAGGTCATGAGTTCAATTCCCAGCAACCACATGGTGGCTCACAACCATCTATAATGAAATCTGGTGCCCTCTTCTGGCCTGCAGGTGTACAAACAGGCAGAACACTGTATACATAATAAATAAATAAATCTTTAAAAAAAAAAAAAAAGATTTCCGGTTGCTGCCAGCTTAAAGCTCTGCTGGACTCAACCTGCATACATAACACCCCCTGGTCTCACATTAGGAGGGTATTCAAAATAAAGCCCGTTGCCGTCACAGGACCTAGAGCACCTGGCGGCCAGCCTGGATGGAGCCTGGACACCCTTACTGAAGAGGATGCAGGCCTTTTCCCCAGCCAGCAGCAAGGTGGACTTAGTGGAGGCCGCTGAGGCCCATGCTCAGAAGCTGAATCAGCTGGCGATCAACTTGTCGGGGTGTGTAGCACTGCAAGGGTACAGCCTGGATGCCCGTGGGTATACTTGGCCCACAGTAGGGTGCTAGTCTGGGAGAGTTCCTGGAGGGAGAGGTCATCACTCCCGAAGAATTCCAGCTGTTTTGTAGCCTCATGGGAAGGTTGGGACCCAAATCTGGGCAGAAATGGGCAGATCTAAAAGGGTAAGAAACCCTGAGATACGGCCAGCCAGGTTATACTCTCCGGCACACCCAACCACGTATCCCATGATCCTTCTTCCCTCCCGGCAGCATCATCCTTGGCATCAATCAGGACCGCTTCATCCAGAGGGCCGTGGAAGCCTCCAACGCCTATAGCAGCATCCTGCAGGCCGTCCAGGCTGCCGAAGATGCCGCAGGCCAGGCGCTGAGGCATGCCAGCCGCACATGGGAGGTAAGGCTCCGAGCATCTGTGGCCCACAGGAGCCCTGCTCCCAGGCCTGATGGTGTGAACAGCCTCATGTAAACAGCCCCTGATCTTCTGCAGATGGTGGTGCAGCGGGGCCTAGCAGCTGGAGCCCGCCAGCTGTTAGCCAACAGCAGTGCCCTGGTGGAGACCATCCTTGGGCACCAGAGGAGGCTGGGCGTTGGTGAGTACCTAGATCCTTGGGTACACTGATATCTGGGATAGGGCTTCAGGATGATTCTAGTGTGGTTCAGTGTAAGAATCAATAGGTATGACGTGTTCCTGCCCTGTGTGGCTTCTACTCCATGGGGTCGACTCTTGCCGGTAGGGGTTGGGTGTAATGTCTGCTTGTCTTGGTAGTATGCCAAGGGGCCATAGCCAGAGGAGGATGAAGCTCAAGGACCCTGTGTTTGCCCTCACTCCATCTGTGGACCAGAAGGGTTGGGTGGAACTCCTTGTATCTCCTCTCTGCAGCTCAGGGCCGCCTGCAGGCTGCGGGGACCCAGCTTCATGATGTCCAAGCTAAGAAGAACCAGCTGGCAGCCCAGATCCGGGAGGCACAAGCCATGCTGGCTATGAACACAAGTATGTGGCTTTTCTCTGCTCTTGCCTGTCACTCTTCCATATTCAGTAGTGCCTTGTGAGAGCAGACACATTCACACCTGATGAATCCGTGCTGTGTGGTCAGTATGTCCGACAAGGCTCCCGTGCTCAGGAGCACTCTGGGCTTGTGCCTCTGAGCCAAGGCACAGGTCACAAGAGTGCTGGATAGTAGTGAAATTACAGGCGGGCACGGAACAAGCAGCAGTGGGGTAGTTACTGGAGCATGTAGGACCCTGGCCAGCAGAGCCCCTTGGTTCAGGAGAAGGGCATTCCTGGAAAAGGTCTGCTGACCAGCGAGCACAGAGGTCAGAGTGGGGTTCATCTGGCTGTCTCTTCAAGAAGGCCGAGAACTGACAACAGTGTGGTCTGACCCTGTCATCTAGGTTTCCTTTTGGCCACCAAAATGTCCTGGGCACACCTGGGCACAAACCTGGAAACTGGGCAAGACTTGGGAGTTGGTAATGGCATCTGGGTGGGAGGATTACAGGGCCAAGAAGAGAAGAGTGTGTAGGATTTTGAATGTTTCGAGCTGCAGGCATAGCGCTTATGCTATCCACAGGGGTGGGTGTCCACAGCTGAGGGCCCTAGGAGCATGAAGCTGGCTGCTGCTGGCATGGCTTCCATGTGTTACAGGCGAGACCAGTGAGAAGATTGCTCATGCCAAGGCTGTGGCTGCTGAAGCCCTTGACACGGCTACCCACGTGCAGTCTCAGCTTCAGGATATGCAGAAGAACGTGGAGAGATGGCAGAGCCAGCTGGGGGGCCTGCGAGGCCAGGACCTGAGCCAGGTGGAACGGGATGCAAGCAGTTCAGGTGAGCGAGTGGTCCTTGCCTTCCTAGGGGACGGGGTGTGGCAGACAAGCCTCTCATCCCACCCTTCCTGCAGTATCCACCCTGGAGAAGATGTTGCCACAGCTGCTGGCTAAACTGAGCCGTCTGGAGAACCGTGGCGTGCACAACGCCAGCCTGGCCTTGTCTGACAATATCGGTCGTGTGCGCAAGCTCATTGCCGAAGCCCGGAGTGCCGCCAACAAGGTGCGTACTCACCTTAGGGATATAAGCAGCGACAGTGGACCTGGGAAGCTGGGTAGTAAACTCTCTTTGCGCTACACTCCTAGGTCAAGGTGTCCATGAAGTTCAGTGGGCGTTCAGGGGTACGACTGCGCACCCCACGAGACCTTGCTGATCTTGCTGCCTACACTTCCCTCAAGTTCTACATCCAGAGCCCAGTGCCAGCGCCCACGCCTGGCGAGAACACTGGGGACCGCTTTGTTCTGTACATGGGCAGCCGCCAGGTACCAAGCAGGAGGGAGGATGCACCATACCAGACTACAAGTTGGAAATGGGTGGTGTTTGGTCCCCATCATAACTGCATCTTCTGGCTTCTGTCACAGGCCACTGGGGACTACATGGGAGTATCTCTGCGTAATCAGAAGGTGCACTGGGTATACAGGCTAGGTGAGGCTGGCCCCACAACTCTCAGCATTGACGAGAACATTGGGGAGCAGTTTGCAGCCGTCAGCATCGACAGGTAGGGTCACCTTGAAGGAGAGGTTAGACTTGTATTTTCAAGTGCCCTGTGTCTGTCTCTCACCTTCACTTCTGTTCTTAGGACCCTCCAGTTTGGCCACATGTCTGTCACCGTGGAGAAGCAGATGGTTCATGAGATCAAGGGGGACACGGTGGCCCCTGGGAGGGAGGGACTACTCAACCTGCATCCTGACGATTTTGTCTTCTACGTGGGAGGATACCCCAGCAACTTCACGGTGGGCCTGGCTCAGCCTTGGGCTTGTCTTGGAGTGTCTGGGCAGTCCTGCCTACCTTGACTTGGGGAAAAGTCCTTGTCTGGTTTTGTGTTCATTCTCCTGCAGTCGAGCGTGGTCGGTCCCTGGGAGATAGGGAGGTGCCCTGACCGTGCACTTTACCCGCAGCCTCCTGAACCCCTGCGATTCCCTGGCTACCTGGGCTGCATCGAGATGGACACACTGAACGAGGAGGTGGTCAGCCTCTACAATTTTGAGCAGACCTTCAAGCTGGACACTGCAGTGGATAAGCCTTGTGCTCGGTAGGTAAGGCCCAGCAGCACCCTGTGCCTCCACTCCCCCACCTCCCCCACTGACCTGTGACCTCTAACCTGCAGCTCCAAAGCCACCGGTGACCCATGGCTCACAGATGGCTCCTACCTGGATGGCAGTGGCTTTGCCCGCATCAGCTTTGAGAAGCAGTTCAGCAACACAAAACGCTTCGACCAGGAGCTGCGGCTTGTGTCCTACAACGGGATCATCTTTTTCCTCAAGCAAGAGGCACGGCCGACCCCATGCTCCACCCTGCCCAGTGCCTTCTCCCCATTCTGGCTCTACCCTGCTGTGACCCTAAGGTCCCCAAACTTACCCTGCTCTCCCCTGTTCTTCCAGAGTCAGTTCTTGTGCTTGGCAGTGCAGGAAGGTACCCTTGTGCTCTTCTATGACTTCGGCTCTGGCCTGAAGAAGGCTGACCCACTGCAGCCCCCACAAGCTTTGACTGCAGCCAGCAAGGCGGTAAGGCAAGGGGGTCTGAGGACAGGAGGACCAGCAGGGAGATTTGGCCTCCCTGAAGCCCGATACCCATCCCTTGCAGATCCAAGTGTTTGTACTGGCTAGCCCCCGCAAACGTGTCCTGGTGCGTGTGGAGCGAGCCACCGTGTTCAGCATCGATCAGGATAACATGCTGGAGATGGCAGATGCCTACTACTTGGGAGGTGTGCCACCTGAGCAGCTCCCCCCAAGGTGAGCATGGGCCTTGGGGCATATGGGGTCCCAGTGCTACTGGGGCAGCCACTCACGACCTGACTGGTATCTTGCAGCCTGCGGCAGCTCTTCCCCTCAGGAGGCTCCGTCCGTGGGTGCATCAAGGGTATCAAGGCTCTGGGCAAGTATGTGGACCTCAAACGACTGAACACCACGGGTGTCAGCTTCGGCTGCACTGCTGACCTGCTAGTGGGACGTACCATGACTTTCCACGGCCACGGCTTCCTGCCCCTGGCTCTCCCCGATGTGGCGCCCATCACCACCGAGGTCTATTCTGGCTTTGGCTTCCGTGGCACCCAGGACAACAACCTGCTCTATTACCGTACCTCCCCGGTGAGCTGGTGGTAGCCTGCTTCCGCTGCAGCCAACAGTCTGGGCCTGTGGGAGCAAGAAGGGATGAGTCTGGATTCTTGGCCTAGCAGGTGACCTTGCCTCTGTCCCTAGGATGGGCCATACCAGGTATCCCTGAGGGAGGGCCATGTGACACTCCACTTTATGAACAGAGAGGTGGAAACTCAACGGGTCTTTGCTGATGGCGCCCCTCACTATGTTGCCTTCTACAGCAATGCCACAAGGTGAGCCCTGCCTCAGGCAGAGAGGGAAGGAGGGCCTGGGGGAGGCTAGCCCTTCAGGAAGAATGTACTGGGCTGGGAAACACGGTCTTCTTTCCAGGGTATGGCTTTATGTGGATGACCAGCTACAACCAGTAAAGTCCCAGGAGAGAACAACCCCCATGCTCCAGCTACAGCCTGAGGAACCCGCACGGCTTCTCCTGGGAGGCCTGCCTATGTCTGGTACCTTCCACAACTTCAGTGGCTGCATCAGCAATGTTTTTGTACAACGGTGAGCTGGTGGGTGTAAGGGATGAAGTCCCAGCTGACCCCGCATTCCAGTTACTGATGTAGCTGTTTTCCATGTTCCCCCCACAGACTTCGGGGACCACAGCGTGTGTTTGACCTACACCAGAACATGGGGAGTGTCAATGTGAGCGTAGGCTGCACACCAGCTCAACTCATCCAGACCTCAAGGGCTCAGAAGGTGGGGCCCAGGGTGGTATGGGCAGGACTTGGGGCTCTGGCTGTCAAGCAGTTGGCCAATGCACTGTGGTCTGATCTGTGCCTTAGGTTTCCCGCCGCAGTCGCCAGCCCAGTCAGGACCTTGCCTGCTCGACGCCCTGGCTCCTTGGGACTATTCAGGATGCATACCAGTTTGGGGGACCCCTGCCCAGTTACCTGCAGTTTGTGGGCATCTCCCCATCCCGCAGGAATAGGTAAGGTTGGCCAGGCCAGGCCTGGGTGGGATTGGAGGTGCCGCCCATGCTGACACAATGCTTGGCTTTCAGGCTCCACCTCTCGATGCTCGTCCGCCCACACGCGGCGTCCCAGGGTGTCTTGTTCTCTGCAGTCCCACTGTCAGGCCACAGCCCTTCACTGGTACTCTTTCTAAACCATGGACGCTTTGTTGCACAGACTGAGGGCCCTGGGCCCTGGCTCCAGGTCCAGAGTCGCCAGCACTCACGGGCTGGCCACTGGCACAGGGTAAGAGGTTAAGGAGAGAGGGTGGGTGGCAGGGCACAGGTAACACCCCTCAAACTCTTTTCTTCCCAGGGCCCTGGGATACTGTTAATCAGGCTTCTTCCCACACCAGGTGTCTGTCCGCTGGGGACTGCAGCAGGTCCAGCTTGTGGTGGACGGCAGCCAGACCTGGAGCCAGAAGGCACCCCGCCATCGGGTCCACAGGGCAGAGCGCCCACAGTCCTACAGTCTCTTTGTAGGAGGTCTCCCTGCCAGTAGTCACAGCTCCAAGCTCCCTGTGAGAACCACACTGTTCCCACCCTGGCCTTGGCCCGGATGTCCACCCTCGGCAGTCTGACCCTCATGTTATCCATCTACTCCCTGCAGGTGTCTGTGGGGTTCAGCGGCTGTATGAAGAAATTACAGCTGGATAAGCGGCCACTGAGGACCCCAATGCAAGTGGTGGGGGTCACACCCTGTGTCTCAGGCCCCCTGGAAGATGGCCTGTTCTTCCCAGGCAGTGAGGGAGTTGTCACATTAGGTGTGTGAGGCAAGGGAGGTCTTGTGAGAATAGGGGTTCTAAGCAAGGCCCTGGACCTCTCACATCACGACCCCTCCCCACAGAGCTCCCCAAGGCCGAGATGCCCTATGTGAGCCTGGAGGTAGAGGTGCGGCCCTTGGCAGCTGCTGGCCTCATCTTCCACCTGGGCCGGACCCAGGCCACACCCTACATGCAGCTGCAGGTGCTAACAGAACAGGTGAGCAGAGCCATGATGCTGGGTCACTCCTTCATTGTGGCCTCTGGTGGGCAGAACCTAACTGTCCTCCACCCCAGGTCCTGCTGCGGGCAGACGACGGGACAGGGGAGTTCTCCACGTGGGTGACCCACCCCAAGCTTTGTGATGGTCGGTGGCACCGAGTGGCAGGTGAGGGGACCCTTTTCCTTTTCTGCAGAGAAGGGTGGGTTGTGGAAGGGACACTGCAAGTTGGCTGGCTAGGGGACACAGATCTGCTCCACAGTGATCAAGGGCAGGAGCACACTCCGGCTGGAGGTAGACACACAGAGCAACCACACCACAGGCCATTCGCCAGAGACCCTGGCTGGCTCTCCAGCACTTCTGCACCTTGGGAGCCTGCCCAGTAAGTGTGGACTGCCCTGAGGGACTGGGGTCCTCCCAACCTCCAGAAGGGTAGCAAAGACCAGGCTGACAGGGACAGAGGGCCCGGCAGCCGGCACACTAGTCTTCCCTGGCCCCTCTGTATTCTCAGAGTCTTCAGTGGCTCGGTCAGAACCCCCTGCCTACCGAGGATGCTTGAGGAAGCTGCGGGTCAATGGGGCCCCTGTCAACATGACTGCTTCTGCTCGAATCCAGGGAGCGGTGGGGACGAGCGGATGCCCCTCGGGAACCCTAGCATTTTCCAAGCAGAGAAAGGAACTGACCCAGAGGCAGGCCAACCCCAGTGTCTTCTCGTGACTCTGGCATTGAGGGCTCCCAGAGCTGTGTTTGCCCATATGAATAACAAGTCATTTCTAGTTTACACTGTCCTTTTAGAGGAAAAGGACACTGCACAACAGGCATTATATTTATATTTTGTCCCTGTTGCCCAACAACCTAGTGCTGAGACCTGTAAAACCACTGGCTCCTCTGAAATTAAAGTGACTTGTTTGACCTGAGTGTGTTGATTTAAACAGAGCAATGGCCGGGTGGGGTAGAGCCCAGGGTGGGAGCTGGCCTCACCACGCGGCCAGCCTGGCTCAGAGTGGAACTGCAAATAACACAGGGCCAAGACCAGACTTGACAGGTACAAGAAAGGACTTTATTAGTGAGGCGGGATAGGAAAGGGTGGGACAAATCACAATCACCACTACGGAATCACACAACTACAAATTCCAACTTGGGAAAGGACAGCGAATAATTTAATCTAGACTCATATCTTCCTCTTCGTCTTTCTTGTCTTTTGTGTCGCCCTCCTTTGGGTCCGATTTGGCATTGTTCTGCATAGCTTTGGCAAATGCTTCCACATCTGAAACAGCCACAGAGAACTACTAAACCTCAGGCTACAGCCACCACCCAGGCTGACAGCCTCTAGCACTCCATAAACACAGCTGGCTCTGACCAGCACTGGGAATCAGTACTCACCACCTTTGTTGGCGGCCTCTACAGCTTCTGCAGGAAGGCCGAACTGGCACATGAGAGGGCCAAGCTGTCCCGAGGCCAAGGCCGCACTGAACATACCCAGGGCCTGCAATAGGGAGCAGACATGCAGAGCTGGGTGCCTAGAGCTCCAGACCCATCAACACTAGAAGTCACAGGTGCAGAGCACGCCACGGACCCCATACCTGCTGGAACTGGGGTGAGGTTAATGTGTTCTGGATCTCATCTGCAGTCTGGGGCAGAGACTCCCCAGAGGGCAGGTAGGGCAACAGGCGCTCCTGAACGTCTGCATTGGCAAGGATGGGAGCCATGATCTCTGGTGTCAGCACACTCGCCAGATCCACTAGGGCACAAGCAAGGCAGCCATCAGTGACCTGATGCTAGCCCAGGAGCCCAGAGAGCAGCAGACTGGGAGCCTGGCAGCACAGGCAGGGTTAAGTGAGCAATGTGGCTGGAAGCCACGGACACCCTGTGAGCACCCACAGCTCTTTACCTTGCTGGCTGCCTCCTGGCCCTGCCGGCACGTTCATTGTGGCCAGAATGCTCTGGAGGTCGCTCAGCTGGATGGGCTGGGTCGGGCTGGCTGCTGTGCTGGTTCCATTACCTGAGCTGGGTGCGGGACTTGGGCTGGTTGCCGAGGCAGCTGCTGGGGCAGAAGGGGCTGGGGTGGCGCGAGCGGAAGAGGTGGTGGAGGATGGGGTGACGGCTGCAGACTGGCTCCGGGAGCTGGAGAAAGTGAGCAAGGGCTGGAGCAGCTAGGCCTACTCTGCTTCAGGCCGTCTCCTCAGGTCTTCGGGACCGCTTCCCCAATGGGGACCCTCTACCCTAGCTCCTAAGTGAGGTCTTCAGAAAGGAGAATGCACTGGCTGGTGGTGGTGCTGGTACCCATATCAGGCACTGGGGGATGGAAACTCACCTGGATGAAGAGCTGCTGGCCGGAGGCCCACTGCTCCCCAGCAAGCTGGCCAAGCCTGGCCCAGTGAGGGCCCCAAGCCCACCTACAGGAGTAAAGAAATGTTAGCTAGAGATACCCCCAGCCCATGTGCCATGTCCTCCAGCAAAAAAAGCTACACACCCCAATACCAACACCAAGGGAAGAACAGGGAGGATTAGGCAGCCACAGGTGGCTGAAGTGACCATGCATTCTAAAGCTATTCTACTGAGTGAGGTCATTCCCACCACACCCACATTTCATACTCAAGAGCAGTGACTTTTAAGTAGCTGTAGTACTTGTGTGTATATCTCAGTGAACTACATATACACATACTAGACCAGGCCCCACTGCCCACCCAGGAGACAAGCACCTTCCAAAGGAGCAGCACAAGGAACACAGACATGGCTGAGACCCTAGTAAGAGGACAGAGAGGAAACCCTGGGTCTGCAAGCAAGCACTGAAAAGGCACCCTTTGGAGCTAGGGACAGCAGGTATTACCCAGTCCTCCGAGGCCGGCTGGTCCGATGAGCTGCATGAGCTGGCTGTGACTCATGTTCCCCAGCAGGCTCTGCAGACCACCCTCACCTGGGGAACACAGGAATCGGATCTTGGGCCTGCTGTGCTGGCCGTGGCCAGGACCGAGACCCTTGTAAACACTACACTATTCGTGACTATGGCAGGGGCCTGGCTGTGGCCCCACCAGGAGTCACTCAGAAATAACAGCCTCTGGAAGGAGGCGGCAGGGACCAGGTGGGCTCTGTGTAGATGGGAGGAAAGAACCAGAACTCATTAAGCAGGGCTCTGCCTCACAGTGTTCCCGGGGAATGAAGGACACTGCCCCCCACAGGTCGAGATGGTAATTACCGCCCAGCGCTGAAAGCTCATGGCCACTACTCCCACTTGCTCCCAGTGACCCAGGCATGGGGGGGTTGTTCAGACACTCGTTGACTTTCCGGCAATGCTCCTCATCTTGGTCCGTCTTGGGCTCCTGCCAGAGAGGATATGCAAAGAGCCAAGGCTGAGCAGTCTGCACTAGGAGCCGGCTCTGCCTCCTGCCTGCCCTGCACCCACATGGCCAGCTATCCTGACTCAGCCCACATAGTGAGTGGAGAGGCAGTGACCTGCAAATGTGACAGCACCAGACAGCCCAGATCTAAAGGACAGCAATGGCAACAGCAAGTAGGCCCCCAAGCCAACGATCACAACAGAAGACTGGAGTGCCTTCTGCGTATGGCTCTTCCTGGGCTTTGTAAAAAACAAACCGTCCCCCACTGCCTGGGCAACCGCTGGCCCCAAAACTTCAGAACAGAACACCACGCGGCAAAGGGGCAAGAAAGGCAAGACAGTGAAATTAAAGAGTACTCGTGATGGGGCCCATTAACGTGTTCAGAACTGTGGAGAAATCCTCTGTAGTGAGGATTGCCGCCTAAAGATGTTCCACCACACAGCCACACCCCTAGCCCTCACTGTGTTCTGGATCCTTGTGCTCAAGTGACCAGAACCCAGGTTGAGAGGAGCCTCTCCCCTCCTGGCACTTGGCAGACAAATAGCAGCTGCCCCTTTTCAAAGGATGACAGTGGTAATGGCTGTGTATCCCACCTTTGAACATACCCCAAGTCTAGCCCTGGCTGTAGACTGGACCCATATACCCAAGAGGGAGCCCATGTCCCATACCACAGCAGAACCACATTAGCAGTGGAAGAAACACAAATATGCCAATGGCCTCCAACAGGTGGCAGAACGTGAAGACTCTGCGTTTGAGGGACACTGCAGATGTGGGTGACATGTAGACGTCATGACACTGAGGGGCCTCTCAACACAGCACAGGAGAGCTTCAGTGGGGACACTCAACGGCTGAGAGAACAGAGGGCGTCACCTCTGGGAGCTAAAACCCATGGCCATTGGAACAATGGGAGCCCTGAGGCCCTGGAACTGTGTGCCTGTAGGTGAGTCCATGGGCAGGGCTCTGGTGCCTAACTACCAGCTAGCCAGAGGTGGGAAGGAATTCAGCTAGACCAGGCCCTCCGGGTCAGCACCTTCTAACCTGGGAAAAGTAACCTCAAGCGTATCACAGGGAGAGAGAGAGGGAGAGAGAGGGAGAGAGAGCACACGCGCGGACCATTCTGCTTACCTGCATCCAGAAGAAGAGCCGCTTGGACCCTGCCTTAAACTTGAGCACGTAGACCCTCCCACTGGGGCACTGAGGGACCCGCTTGAACTCACAGTCATCAGGGAAGATAATCAAGTCCTGGCAACACAAGGAGGACAGTCAGACAGACAGACACAGACATACACACACACAAGTGCGTACCACCAAGGTTTGGGTCCCCTGAATATTTGCTGGGCCCCAATATCAAGGTGGAGTCAGGAAGTCTCAGACCCCAGTGAAGACAGACAGAAGAGGGCCCAGAGTGGAGGGATAGAAAAAGTGTTCTCTGAGGACCAGATGACTAAACAGAAACATTCTGGAACTGTGTTCCAAGAAGCAAAAAGTCAACCAACTGTCTGGCTGTTCCTAAGTGTAACAAAGAACAGTGTACTCTGAGAGACAAAGAGCCCCAAAGAAAGCCTCTTCAGAGGCCTTGGTGAGGGTCATATCTGCACACTCCTCCACAGGACTGGAAGTTTAAAGCCAGGGTTCGGGACAATGTCACCAGCTGACTCTATCACCCTGTCAGCAGGCTGTCTCTGCTAAAACCTTAGGAACCATGGTCACCGCAGGGTGCATGGTTTCACAGAGTGGTCTGGAGCACTCTGCCAACCTTAGGACCCTTACACCAATCTACAGAAGGTGAAGCCATGTTCCCAGCTCTTGCCTCGCTGGGCCTGGTCTGGCTACAAGCACTCACATCCTCCACGGTCCCAGAGGTCCTGTCTTTCCAACAGAAGTGAATAAGGGAGTCGTCCGTCTGCTGGATGTACACGAGACCTTTCCGTTTATCTGGGGTGACCGTGGTTCCTTTTAATGACATTTTTCCTGCCCGGAACTCCACCAAATACTTGGTAGAGGATCCCCGAGAGCCGGGCACCAGGCTTGGAAACAGAGCGCCTGAAGTCGTCATCCTGAAAAAACAGAGCGAGGCCCGTCGTGCGGCGTCGCGTGCGCAATGTCCCACCCATACGCTGGTCAGCCCGAGGCTGCCCGGGAGAGGGAGCGCGCCAGGCTGCGCAAGGCCAGCTGGTGTGCGCAGGACCGAGCACAGCCCCGCGGAGCCCCCGCTCCCGCGACGTCACTGCCCGCCCGTGCGGAGCCTCGCTGCGTCCGGCCCCGGCGCGTCTGGGGCACCGGCGGCCGGCTCGGACTGACTCGGCCCCGCGCTACTGCCGCGTCCCGTCCTCCTGCCGCTCGTCCCAGCCTGGAGCCGCGTGCCCCTATGCCGCCGCTGCCGCCACCAGGCCCCTACCTGGCCGTGCTCACACTCGGCCTAGGGACACAGTCCGGGCTCGCTCTTCCTCCTCGGCGCCTGCCGGGCCTCGCCGGAAGCCCGTGCTCGGCCCGCCCCGACGCCGCTCTCGCAGCCGATTGAGTTCCGTCAACCGCGCGGCCGGCCCCGACCAGGTTCCGATTGGCCCTCGCCGCCGTCC